GTCTTTTCACCAGAATACTATTGCAATTTTATCGTTTCAATAGGCGCGGTTGTGGCTAGAGAAACACTATCGGCGATTCAAGGCACGGGTTAGCGGCTTATCGGCAGTCGAAACACACGATCCTCATCATTGGTGCTTTCATTAAGAGGTGTTGATCGTGTGTTTTTCTTGTACCCCTTTCCCTTTCTTTTTCTTTTCCTATTTTTCGTCCCCCCTCCTATATAAAAAAAAATAAAAAAAAATAAAAAAAATATCTATATCATCATCTTCAACACGAGTCCTAGAAGCAAGCTATCGCCAACAAGGAGATGAAGGACAAGATCGATAATCTCGATGTTCAAGTCCATAGTATGAGCGAAGCTATGAATACCCTAGGCGAGGGTCTCGATACCACAAAAGCGTCCATTCGTGAATTCATGGAGATCATGAACCGAAGGTTCGATGAGATGGCACGTAATATGTTGGCGCGCCAATCACCACCCCGACGGCCCAATCGCGATCGGCCCGAGCATGAAGGACGACGCGAGCGCGAGCAAGATGATTACCACGAACGATGGTGCGAGGATCGAGAGCTCGAACGACGCCATGATCGTGAGCGACACGAAGAGGAACGGCGACATGATGAGCGCGAGCGAACGTGGACCGCGAGTGACGGCGCGAGGAGTACGAGCGGGAAGACGACTTCGACCGACGGTCCCAGGCGTCTAACCACCACGACCGACCAAAGCCAGAAAAGCCAAAGCTCGTGTTATCCACCTTCACCGGCGCAGATCCCGATGCATGGCTCAACCGGGCTGCCCAATATTCCGAGTTGAATGAGATCGAAAGAAATGATCGGGTAAAGTACGTTGCTTACTATCTTGATGGAGAAGCCAACGTGTGGTGGCAGTGGCTTACAAGCATCTACCGTGGTCGACGACAAGTCATCAGGTGGAACGACTTCAAGCGCGAGTTACTTACGCGTTTCGGAACATCCGACCACCACAACTACAATGAGGCGCTATCACGCATACGGCAGACAGGAAGCTTGCGCGACTATCTAAAGGAGTTCGAGCGATTGACATGTCGCGTACGAGGCTGGCCCGAGACCGCGTTGGTAGGGGCATTTATTGGAGGGCTGAAGTTCGACCTAGCTGCAGAGGTGCGGTTAGAACGGCCCGAATCGATGCACGCGGCTATGGAGGTTGCTCGACGCCGAGATGACCACCTCACCGCCACTCGAAGGGGACGGACGGACGTACACTATCCCGAAACACGACGCGCACAATCGGATGCGAGCGATATGGTTCCGAGCGGTCGACCACCTGACAACTCTCGACCGACTAATAGCACACGACCACCAGTCAAGCACTTGACACCCGAATAAATAAGGCGCTGACGTGAGAAGGGACTCTGTTTCAAGTGCGACGAGAAATTTACGCTTGGTCATCAATGCAAGTAGGCTTTTGTCATCCACGTCATCAATAATGAAGAGCCCGAGATCGAGGAGAATTGGGAGCAAGAAGTCGAGATTGGGGTTCCCGAAGAGGAGGCCGAGATCTTGATGCATGCGATGGCTGGTACAAGAGGACCGACGACGATGCGGCTGCCGGCGTTGGTCAAGGACCATCGTGTAGTCGTGCTAGTAGACAACGGATCGTCGCACAACTTCATCAACGCCGATCTATCTCGAAAGTTGAAGTTGCCAACGACAAAGGTCGAACCATTTGAGGTTCGAGTAGCCAATGGAGAACAGCTAAAGTGCTCGGAGGCTCACCGTGCGATATCGATTAAATTTCAATGAGTCACCATCAAAGCCGATCTCTATGCGCTACCATTGGTTGGACCCGACGTTGTGTTAGGAGTACAATGGCTCGAAGGATTAGGAAAGGTGACCACCGACTACCGGACGGGAGTCATGGAGTTCGACTCAGGAGAGCACCGGGTCATGTTAAAAGCAAGCAAAGACAGCAGAGCCAAGGAGTTTGGTCTCAAGAGTATTGAGCGGGTTTGGCATGGGGGCGGTCAGATTTTTACCGTCGAGGAAGTAGGCGCATACGCGAGCATGGTCGAGCATGTCTCGACGGAATATGATGGCCCACCTATCTTCGACGTGTACCCCGAGGATGAACTCATAGACGACGAAGTAGTCGAGGGAGCAGAGATCAAGGAAACTGAGGTCAAAGGCGAGGTGCCCGAGATTTGGACGATCGCGCAGCAACAATTCAAGAAACGCGAGTTGGTTAGAGCATCCGACTACGTACTAGGCGAGCCTGACAAAGAAAAAGGTTTGATCGACGAAAAGTGTAAGGAGCCTATATTTCCGCTTAAATTCTTGAAATATTTTAAGGACTTAAGGCCCATCGAGTACGTGAAGGAGTCAACGGGTTATGAAGGACCACCTATCTTCGATGTATATCCCGATGAGTACTTTGTCGAGGTTGAAGGCATTTGGGTCGAGTCCAAAGAAGATGCTGTTGGGTTCTGTTAGGAACGTCAAACAACATGCACAGTATTGAACTTTATCGAAATAAATCCTAACGCAGTGGAATCTATAGTTAGGATATGGACGTTTATCTTTTTAAAATTATTGCCGACTCT